GGGTTCGAATCCCGGGTCGACTCCCGCCCAGGCCAAGCCTTCTACCCTCCGGGGACGGTAAATTGGTACCAGATTCGTCTGGGAGGATAAAACACTGACTTGTACATCGGCTGGCCACCGCAAGTCATTGTATAGGCCACATCGCATTCAATAAGCCACTACGATTCTGAATGGAAGTAGAATGCGTGCCGCATCCCACAAAGGGATTGATCAACGGCGAAGACTTTATCCTTTATCCTTATTTTAGAGGCGAACTGTACACTCATTTCCGTGGATTCTGGTCCTTGCCATGTGCGCAGTGAACGAGTCCGCAGCTGCAGAGGGGAGTGATACCCGAATGCCATCTCTATACTCCGTGCACTCTGCCGCATGGCAAGCCACACCGCCTAACCATAACCGAACGCGCTATTTGTCTGCGTCCTCTTATTTCTACTTGTTCTTACCGCTGAGTGCATGTTTCGCTGTGGGGTCTTGGTATCGATGCAACCGCTGCACATTAAGGATAGCGCGGGCGGAGTATGGGGACGACACCGGGTGTCACTCCCCTCCAGGCCCGTTCCTGTGCACTTTTGAACGGAGAAAGTGGCTCTATTGCAGATGCGGACTCATTCACCTCGCACATGGCAATGCGTCCCCGGAGGTGGTGCAGTTTGTCTCCAAGTGAATGCGTTATCGAGTAGGGGGGGGCAGCTCAAGCTTCGTTGGTTTGATGGCGTTCGGCCGCACCACCCATCGCGCTGGATGGTGGGGGAATGTGGACGCTTCTAGTGACGCTTGAAAATGGCGCTACTACACCTCATCTCTAGTCAAGTCACCCACTGCCTCTGAAGGCACCCCCCGTACGGACCGTATGAACAGAGTTAGATGCACTATCAACTTTCCTCATTTGGCGCGCCTTCCCCTAGTGCGAGGGGTTACCAGTAGAGGAGCCAGCGACTCCGCCCTTTCTGCAAGTGGATGGAGATTCTATGTAATCATATTACTTCCATATTAATTTTTTGTTTAGGCGACTTTGGATGCAGCGAAGAGATTGCTACAATTATTGCGATGCTTCAAGTTCAGGATGTGTTTTTGACACCGACGAGGAATAGAAATAGATCCGTGAGTGATATCGTTCTCACAAAGGTTAATTAGAAGCATGCGGAACCTACGCAGCGTTTGAATTTGCACTAGTGTGCCATCAACGGTAGTTGCAAAGAATCAAGTGCTTCTTCTGCACCTATCGAGTGATTCATCATTCCCAGCCCAGTGAGTTTTGTATATGATATTTTGGCTTTTTCTTTTCAGGAAGAAATAAAGCGCCGATTTGCTGCTGAAGAAGGCGATCATATCGCGTATCTGAATATGTATACGATGTTCATTCAGGTAAGGTTGCAGGTCATTCAATAAATATTTACAGTCAATACCCTGCAAACGGGAACGCTTGTGAGGGGCCTGAGCTCAAGCGAAACCATGGCGGCCCTTTCCACCAATGATGTCATCCTCAGCCCGCAACAGTTGGCGGGAAGGGCAGTCTTGGCTGCGTTCTAATCCACGCCACACGCCCTCTCATGTGCAGAAGTGATGGACTGTAATCCATTTTCCGATACATATCTTTCGGACTTGAGGAAGGCAACTAGCTGCGTCCGCTTGTCTGCGCCCTCTCACCAAACCGGGACATCCATTCCTAACACGTTCCAGACCACGTGACGCACATGGTGTGTCATACAGTTGCATCGATGCAGTGGCCGGAAATCACTGAATGAATTGGTCAAAATTGATGAAGTGACCTGGAGGTGCGTGCAGTACGGCGGTCCGCTATATGTTATAGAGTCAGAAGCACATTCAGGCTCCTCGTGTAGGTGGTTGGGAGGTGCCAGGTCTACCATTGTGCGCTCCTCACTTCTAGGATGGTGAGGAGAAGGCGCACGCCGGTTTGTTTGGTTTCCAACCCCCTCCCTTTTTTTCTCTCCCCCCCCGCCCCCACATGTGTGTGGAATGTGTATTTAGAGAAGAAATGTTCATTGTTCTGTGGAAGTTTCACCGCATTTTTTTCTAATTATCATTTGCAGAATAACAAAAGCAAGAAGTGGTGCGGAGATCATTTTCTGAACTACCGTGGTCTTTGCCGAGCTGAGAACGTCCGCGCGCAATTAATCAGGCTTCTACGAAGATTTGAAGTGCCTCTGGTCTCAGTGCGTGGAGAAACTGGTGAGTGTCTTTCTCCTAATCGCGAGAGGATGGATGGTTCCACGTTTTGCTGATCCCTTCGAAGGGGGGCGGGGTTGCAAAGGGTGTCGCGCGCGCGCACTATTCCCACCAAATAATTTCAGCGTGGAACTGCTGCTTAACCATGTTTAATCAGCCAAACAGGAAATGCTCTGCATGTCTGCGCGCGTTGTTAGAGCGCAGGAGTAACGTCCCCACCATTATGTGAAGTTCTACTTAAATGATTTTTCTGATTTCAGATGCCGCGACGAAGATAATCCGA